TTTCGATGCATAGGCAACTACTTTGTCCTGTTGCATTAAGACATGTCCTAAAATTGCTTCGAAGTAGCACTATAGATCACAAAAACCATCTGACCCGTTGAGTATGGTTAACACTAAGGCGTTTACCAGCTTTTGGTTTAATTCTTTAAAGCTCTGTTCACACTTCTTTGTCCAGTCAAACTTCACATCATTGCGTTTTAATTGTGTCAGCGGTCCTGATATTTTGGAGAATTCTTCAATGAGCTTCCGATAGTCCCTGCTAAGCCCAAGAAACTTCGAAGTTCTCCTACATTGGTTGACCTTGACCAATTCAAACCTTCTTTCACTTTACTAGGGTTTACCTCTATCCCTTGGGCCATGACAATATGTCCAAGGAATGCTACCCATTCTAGTCAAAACTCACACTTTTGAACATGAACATGGCATAGAGTTTCTCCTTCTTTAAAACCTCCAACACAATTTTTAAATGCTCCTCATGTTCCTCATTACTTCTTGAGTAGATCAGGATATCATCGATGCACACGATAACAAATTGATCCAGATACTTGTGGAAAACGCAGTTCATCAAATCCATAAAGACTCCACGAGTATTAATTAGTCCAAATGGCATAACTAAGAACTCATAGTGTCGGTATCGAGTTCTAAAAGCGATCTTAGAAATATCACTAGCTTTGATTCTCAATTGATAATAACCAGATCTTAAATCGATTTTGGAAAATATTACTGCATCTTTGAGCCAATCAAACAAATCCTCAATCATGGGAAGATGATACTTATTCTTGATAGTAATTCTATTTAATTCTCTGTAATTGATGCAGATCCTCATTGATCTATCATTCTTTTTAACGAATAGCACTGGTATTCCCCATGGCGATACACTTAGCCGGAGGTTTCCTTCAAATAGTTTCTCTAGCTGTGGCTTCAATTCTTGTAATTCTTTGGTGCCATTCTATACGGGGCTTTGGAGATGGGTATGGGGCTTTGGAGATGGGTGCTAAGTTAGGAGTAAGGTCAATAGTGAATTCTACCTCTCGTTTTGATGATATGCCAAGCAACTCCTTGGGGAAGACTTCTGGATATTCACATACCACCCTAGCCTTGTCAACTGTTAATCTATTGTTTCTTTTCCTTATTACGGACATCAGGAGTCCCGTAGTGTTTTCTAATGGTACGACTAGTTGGGCTTTCAATGCAGACAAGATGCTGGGTAAGGTTCCACCTTCAGCTATAGATAATCGAAATCTCTCTTCTAGTCATTGAAAAATAACCTCTTTTTCAAACCAACGAATTATCGCATGATTCTTGGATAGCTAGTCCATTCCAAGAATCGCTTCGAACTCGTCCATATCTAATACATACAATTTCGTCCCCAATGATTTACCATCAATTTTTACTCTTGTTTCGTCTCCAATGATTTACCATAAATTTCTACTCTTCTTGTTCTAACTATGTGATTAATATTCATTATATCCCTAGTGGGCATCATCAATTTTAAAGGGAATTGTGTATATTCAACCATAACTTTCAATTTACATAGAAACTTAACGGCTATAAAGGAATGAGTTGCACCAAAATCTATCAATGCATAGGCTAGTAAGTCAAATATGAGGACTTTATCTGCTAAGACATTTCGATTCTGACCCTCCTCTTGCCCTGCTAGTGTATAAACCCTAGTATGTCTTTCTGGTGCATGGCCTTGTTTATGTAGGTTGTTTCCCTATGGCATAGCGTCTCGCCTTCTTGTCCTCTGTATCCACAAACTCAGGAGCATAATCAGCCAACTTTTCAAACTTCTGCTCGTATTCGATCAATGTCATTGAGCCCTGAGTTAAAGTAAAAAAACTTAGCCTCCTTCTGATTTCAAATAATCGTGGGGTAGTACTTTTTGAGAAAGGCCTCCTTGAATTCCTCTCACATCCAAACATGACTAAGAGCCTTTGATTTGATGTCCCACCAACGCCTAGCACCTTTATGTAGCATAAAGGTTGCACATATCACATTTCTAGGTTTTGGGCAGTCAATGAGTTAAAAATCCTCTTCATACCCATTAGCCAGTCCTCTACTTCCAAGGGGTCTGTACTACCATGAAAGATAGGGGGATGCTGTTTCCTGAACTGCTCAATCATAGCAGCAGTGGTCCTAATGTCGAGAGTAGCTTCATGCTGCTGTTCTGGTTGAGGTGGCAAATAAGATGATGGTGTTGGCTGTTGAGGAGGTAGTGGCGGCATCACGACTTGTTCAAAATTTGCATCATGGTGAGAAACTGCTGGGCAGATTGTAAGTCAATCATATTAGGCTGAGGCTGAACCGGTTGTGTGAACTATTGGTTTTGGTTATAGCTATTGTTAGTCTTTCTGCTTTGGATTGCTATAGCCTTAATTAAATGATAGTAAATATTTAGGTTTAAGTCAAATTGAGGAAATGAGACATAAATGAATAGCATCTTTATTCATAAACATTCAAAAGTTCACATATATAACGAACCATCGAGCATGTTAAGTGTTCAAACAAGCTAGAATTCGTAAATTTAAACATATAGTAAACTAGGCATCATCTAATAGTTCTTCCCAGTACCTTTCCTTTTGTTTGCCTCCCTTTCTTTTTTCTTAGAATTTGGTTTTTGATCAATCGCGGAATACGACGCGGGGTTGTATTTTTCACTCGGGTCTTCTTTAACATAATTTCCCTCGTAGTCAACTTCGGGTATTGTTATGATGTTGCCCGAATTGGGTTCATAGTCTAGCTTCTTATTGGTATTCCTAATGTCTTCATGATTCACCCTCCACTTTTTCCTCATGCATTGGAGTAGTAGATCGGGAAGGGTCTGGTAGTCGAAGGCCTCTTTGATTCCCTTGATAAATTGCCTCTAATAAGGAGTAAGGGTTCGGTCAATATGATACATGATCTCATTCCTATGAAATTGATATCCATTCCCCTTTGTCCCTCGGTAAATCTTTTCCATGGCATATAAGTGTTGTATCAAACCGTGGTTCGAGTTTCTCTTGTAATTCCTATGCAACCAAGTAAAATGATTGCGCATCTCAATTTGAATATTTTGACATTGTCCACTCACCATCTATCAGAAAGAAATGAACGTAATTACTTTTCTTTTCAAAAGAATTTTCCAATTATTATCATCATCATCATCAATTTTTAATTTTTAATTTTTTTTAAATTTTAACGAAGGTAGTGATAAAAGAATCAATTATTGTACCAGAAGTTGAAACTTTTAAGAAAATGTACTAATAATCATCCACAGTTTTTTCCTTCTTTTTACAAAGGTAGTGATAAAAGGATGAATTATTGTATCAGAAGTTAAAACTTTTAAGATAACGTAAGTATAACCATCTATAGTTTTTTCCTTGTTTTTACAAAGTAGTGATAAATGGATGAATTATCGTACGTGAATTCATTATTAATCTCATTCATGTAATGCATGATTATAATATTATTGCAAACATAACATGCATTTAAAATCATATAACTACTATCTATGTATCTCATGATTTCTACATTAGTGTAAAATCTAAGAATGAATTCTTCTATAATAATATAATAGTGAACACTTATAACATACAAAATTTCATATTATTATTGACTTTTATGCTTAATAAGCCTAAATAAAATTGCAATTATATTCAAATTTTGTCATGATATTCACGATTGCTATTTTACGTAATTAACATGCTTTCATAAGTGAGATGACATGAGTACTTAAAGTGTATATATACCTGATTCAAGGAAGTTGAGACATGGAGGATTACATCGTGGTTAGTGACTTAGAACAACTTAAATTCTCATTTTAAATATCAACTAATTTTAAAAAAAAAAAATATTCATCTTAATTATTGAACCCAAATCGATTCTTGAATTAAAGCTTTTAGATAGTATTAGGCTATTTAAATAATAAAATCCAACTAAATAACCCTATCCTAAAATGCACTCTTAAAAAAATAAAAATAAAAATCAATACCATATCAAATTAAAGCTCAAATACACATATTCTACATAAAATGGGATAGCCCATTAACGAGAGTTTTTTTTTTTTTTTTTATTTTTTTTAATTGTGCTACTATTCGTGTGAACAGTTACTGTGTGTGATTGTTCACCACAGTCGTTGTTCACGATGAACAATGATTGCGAATGAACAGTAAAAAAAAAAAAAATTTAAAACAGAAAATTTGTAAAGCTCAAAATTTTGAAAATATGTGTTAAGTCTACAAGATCAATTTAAAAACTCTTAGCGTTCATACCAACTGTGGCGGCTCGTATTATTGATTGTTTGATTGTCACAAAATAAAACTCAATTCTTTTGTAAGAACTTTATAAGAACACGAAATAATTTTATTTTTCTTCAATAAGTAAATAAATTTTGGTTTTATTATGTAGTTGGGAGAAATAAATAAAGAAAATAATTTCAACATGATAACTAAATTGAAAATTTAAAGTTGTGTTTTAAACACAAAATAACTGCAACGCCCCAAATATTATCGACTTAAAATTTGAGGTGTTACCGATATCATTTCGTATCGCATACATAAAGCGAAAATATTTAATTCGAAATTTAAAACTTTCGATTTATTTAATACTCAAATACCAAATTGAATAAACAAAATGTCGCGTAGACATAGAACATTAAACATAATTAAATTGAAGCACATAATCCTAACAGAATTATTTTAAAACGTTTTTTTGCAAAGTTTTTTTTTACTTGGCAACCCGCGCACCGCTTACCCACCATCCACGTTGACCGTACTGATCTGAAATATTGAAATTGAAGAAGTGAGTAATTACACTCAGTAGGATACGTGCGTCCAAACAATATGATAACTTTTAAAACGTAAATTCATAATATTTCATACCATCATCTCATCAAGATCAATCGGCAATTCCACGTGCCAAAATCCTTTCTAAGAGTATTAAAACCCGTTTCCGACAATACAAAGAGAACACTTCTGGAATGGAGACTTGGACAGGCAGTGGAGAGTTAAGTGAAGATGGAAGAGAGTGTATTTTTAACAAATTTGGCAGTCAAAACCTCCCTTAATTTTACACCTCCCTTACACTATAAATTCATTCCAAATCCTCGAAAATTTATGAGATAGTCAAAACCTCCCTTAATTTTACACCTCCCTTACACTATAAATTCATTCCAAATCCTCGAAAATTTATGAGATAAAAATCACTCTCTTCCATCTTCACTTAACTCTCCACTGCCTGTCCAAGTCTCCATTCCAGAAGTGTTCTCTTTGTATTGTCGGAAACGGGTTTTAATACTCTTAGAAAGGATTTTGGCACGTGGAATTGCCACTGGATCGACCTTAAATCCACAAGACACGACCTTAAATCCACAAGACACGACAACAACAAAAAGGTTTTGGGAACGTGAATTCCTTACTTTTCTATCATCAATCGAGGTAGGATACTTTTATGTGTAAGTGATATGTCCTTTCAATATTATGATTTTCATGCGTGATTTATTTCATGAAATGCTTATTGACCTGCGGGTCCAATGAAATGAAATGAAATGTTTGACCTGTGGGTCTCAAAGAAATGAAATAAAATGTGAGATCGCCTTCAGGCCTTCTCAAATGTACTAGAACTTTCGACTGATCACCGATTGCTCTTGATGAGATGATGGTATGAAATGTTATGAATTTACGTTTTAAAAGTTATCATATTGTTTGGACGCACGTATCCTACTGAGTGTAATTACTCACTCCTTCAATTTCAATATTTCAGATCAGTACGATCAACGTGGATGGTGGCTGAGCGGTGCGCAGGTTGCCAAGTAGAGAAAAACTTCGTAAGAAAACGTTTTAAAATAATTCTATTAGGATTATGTGCTTCAATTTAATTCTGTTTAATGTTCTATGTTTATGCGACATTTTGTTTATTCAATTTGGTATTTGAGTATTAAATAAATCAAGAGTTTTAAATTTCGAATTAAATATTTTCGCTTTATGTATGCGATACGAAATGATATCGGTAACACCTCAAATTTTAAATCGATAATATTTGGGGCGTTACAATAACTGCCTAAAAAGGAGAATTATCATAAAGTGAGATTTATAAAATCTCAATAAATATGTCTTGAATTATTATCGTGTATAACTTAAAAGAGCATAATAATCATAATCAAAATAATGAAGACACAATGATTTACCGAAAAAAGCTAGTAATAATTCTTATGTGTAGCACTAATAAACTCTGGTCCCCTTAACATAATTATAATCATATCATACCATAAGGACCCACAATAATTTTCTTGAAATTTATAACATAATAATAATCCAATATAGGAATATAGGCAACATACTTACAATGAATTTCGAAAGAAAAAGTAATAGAGACTAGATTCCTCTACAATTTCCACTCGACTTATGAACGTGTATATGTGTGTATTATTTAGAGTGAAAAATAATAGTGAGTGGTAGCATGTGAATGTGAATGAGGGGTTTAAATAGGATAAGACTGTGCAGACATCATTAAGGAAAGAACTCGTGATGGTGGAAATTGTTCCAAGTCACTAGCCATTATGTCATCCTCTATTTTTTGACTTCCTTGAACCAAGTATGAATGCACTTTAAGTATTCACGTCATCTCACTTGTGAAGCATGCTTTTTACGAAAAATTGCAATCGTAACTATCGTGACAAAATATGAATATAGTTGTGATTTTATTTAGACTTGTTATGCATAAAAGTCAATAATAATATGAAATTTTGTATGTTATAATTGTTTACTATTTTGTTATTGATAGAAGACCTCAATATTAGATTATATATTAATGTAGAAACCATGAGATATATAGATGGTAGATATGTGATTTTAAATGTATGTTAAGTTTGGTGGGAATGACTAAACTAGAGATTAAATTTGCGGTAATATAGAATCATATATTACATGAATAAGATCAATAATGAATTCACGTACAATAATTAATCCCTTTATCACTACCTTTGAAAAAACAAGGGAAAAATTGTGGATGGTTATTGATACGTTCTCTTAAAAGTTTCAACTTTTGGTACAATAATTAATTCTTTTATCACTACCTTTGTAAATATAAGGAAAAACTGTGGATGGTTATTGACACGTTTTCCTAAAAGTTTCAACTCCTGGTACAATAATTGATTCATTTATCACTACTATTGTTAAAAAAAATAACAAAAATTTGAAAAGTTCCTTGAAAATAAAAGTAATTATGTTCATTTCTTTCTGATAGATGGTGAGTAGACAAAGTCATACCAATCGAACTGAGAGACAAAATCATTTTACTTGGTTGCATAGGAATTACAAGAGAAACCCGAACCACGATTTGATACAACACTTGGATGCCAAGAAAAAGACTTATCGAGGGGCAAAGGTGAATGAATATTAATTTCATAGGGATGAGGTCATGTATTACATTGATAGAACCCTTCCTTCTTATTGGAGGTAGTTTATCAAGGAAATCGAAGAGACTTTTGAGTACCAGACCCCTCCTGATCTACTATTCCGATGCATGAGGGAAATGTGGAGGGTGAATCAAGAAGACGTTAGGGATACCAATAAGATGCTAGGTTATGAACCCAATCCGGGCAACGCTATGATAATACTCGGAGTTGACTACAAGGGAAATTATGACCCGAGTGAAGAGTACATCCTCGTGTTATATTCCGCGATTGACCTGAAACCAAATACTGAGGAAAAAATGGAAGCAAATCAAGGGGAGTGTACTGGGAAGAAATATTACATGATGCTTATTTTACTTTATGTTTTTGAATTTCAGCTTGTTTCGACACTGAGTATGCTCGGTGGTTCGTTATTTATTTGAACTTATTAATGTTTATGAATAAAGCATGTCATTCCTTTATGTTTCATTTCATTAGTTTGACTTAACTCTAAATAGTTATTATCATTCAATTAATGCTATGGAGCCTCAAAGCAGAAGGATTGACAATAACAATAACCAAATCCAAGAGCCCACACAACCTGTTCTGTCTCAGCCTTATACGATTTACCCACAATTTGCTCAATAGTTTCTCGCTATGATGCAATTTTTGCCTAAGCTGCAATGCCACCACCACCTTATCTGCCATCTCAACCAGAACAACAAAATGAAGCTGCCTTGACACTAGGACCACTGCTGTTGTGGTTGAGCAGTTTAGAAAACAGCATTCCCTTATCTTTCATGGTAGTATGGACTCCTTAGAAACAGAGGACTAGCTGGTGGGTATGGAGAATATTTCTGAACTCATTGACTGCCTAAGAATCAAAGCCAGTGATATCTCTAAAACCGTTTTTAGAATTTGGTATGGATACTACGAGTTCTTAGTTATGCCATTTGGACTAACTAATGCTCCTAGAGTCTTTATGGATTTGATGATTGCATTTTCTACAAGTATCTGGATCAGTTTATTATCATGTTCATCGATGGTATCTTGACCTACTTAAGAAGTAATGAGGAGCATTTAAGGATTGTATTGGAGGTTTTGAAGAAGGAGAAGCTCTATGCCAAGTTCATAAAATGTGAGTTTTGGCTAGAACGGGTAGCATTCCTTAGACATATTGTCATGGCCCGAGGGATAGAGATGGATCTTAGTAAAGTGGAGACAGTGTTGAAATGGTCAAAGCCAACCAATTTAGGAGAAATTCGTAGTTTTTTGGGCTTAGCATGATAATATCTAAGGTTCAATGAAGGATTCTCTAAAATATCAAGACCGTCGACACGATTAACATGCTAGGGTGTGAAGTTTGACTGGACAAAGAGGTATGAACAGAGCTTTAAAGAATTAAAACAAAAGTTGGTAAATGCCCCAGTGTGAACCATACCCAATGGGTCAGATGGTTTTGTAATCTATAGTGATGCTTCGAAACAAGGTTTCGGATGTGTCTTAATGCAACATGGCAAAGTGGTTGCCTATGCATCGAGACAATTAAAACTATGTGAACAAAGCTACCTCGCGCACGACCTAGAACTTGCCGCAGTGGTCCATGCAATAAAGATTTGGAGGCCTTATCTTTACAGAGGTAAATGTGACATTTATACATACCACAAAAGCCTCAAGTACATCTTTACCCAGAAGGAGTTGAATATGAGACAGAAAAGATGGCTTAAATTAGTTAAGGATTATGGCAAAGTGATTGCCTATGCTTCAAGACAATTAAAACCACGTGAACAAAGCTACCCCACGCACGACCTAGAACTTGCCGCAGTGGTCCATGCAATAAAGATTTGTAGGCCTTATCTTTACGGAGGTAAATGTAACATTTATTCGGATCACAAAAACCTCAAGTACATCTTTACCTAGAAGGAGTTGAATATTAGACAGAGAAGGTGGCTTAAATTACTTAAGGATTACGATTGTGAAATTCATTATCACCCAAACAAGCCGAATGTGGTAGCTGATGCCTTGAGTCTGAACACGACAAGTCAATTAGCTATGTTGACTATGCAAGAACCACTGTGGAGAGAATTTGAGAGATTGAATCTCGAGGTTGTCACCACTCAACCAAGTGTGGTCGCTCGAGTAGAAGCTTTTTCTATCCGATCCACACTTCGCGACAAAATTAAAGGACTTCAAAAGAGTGATCAGTCATTTGAGTATATAAAGTCTGGGATTAACTTAAAGAAAAGTGGAAGGATTTCACCATAGTTGAGTGTGTCCAGAAATGTTTGGTATGCCAGCAAGTAAAGGTCGAACACCAGTAACCGTCAGGGTTACTTGAACAATTGGAAGTCCCAGAGTGGAAGTGAGAGCATGTAACTATGGACTTCGTGATTGGTTTTCCAATGTCAGCAAGAGGTCACGATGCTATTTGGGTTATAGTGGATCGACTCACCAAATTAGCTCATTTCCTATCGGTTTGGATAACGTTTACTGTGGATTAGTTTGCACAATTATACGTGAATGAGATAGTAAGGATACATGGTATGCCTATTTCTATTGTATCGGATAGAAATTCAAGGTTCACATCGAACTTTTGGAAATGTCTATATCGAGCTATGGGAACTAAACTAAACTTCGGTACGGCATTCCATCCTCAGAGGTATGGGCAATTTGAGTGGACTACTCAAACATTGGAGGACATGCTTTAGACATGTATACTCGAGTTTGGCAGATTGGGAGAAACATTTACATTTAGTTAAATTCTCATACAACAATAGTTACCACACTTCAATTGACATGGCACCAAACAAGGCATTGTATGTGAGAAAGTATAGATCATTAGTTCATTGAGATGAAGTCAGTGAGTGAAAGATTTTGGGGCCAGAGATTATTTAGCGGACAGTGCATGCAATTGAAAAAATTCACGCCAACATTAAAAGTGCTCAAGATAGACAAAAGAACTATGCAAATTGAAGGAGAAAGTGTCTGGAATTTTCAGTTCGTGATAAGGTATTCCTTAAAGTGCTACCAATAAAATGAGTACTACGCTTTGGCAAGAAGGGTAAGTTGTGACCAAGGTTTATTGACCCGTTTGAGATTTTGCAACGTATTGGGATGTCGCATATCTATTAGCATCACCTCCTGAATTTAGTGAATTTCGAGGACAAAATTTTATTTTTATGAGGGTAGATTACAATACTTGCACCCGAATTTCTGGGTCTAATTATCAAAATTGAAAATTTAGGGGCTCATTTGAGAGTTAATCCACATTCAAGAACTTTGTAGAAAATTTACTATAAATGTTAATTCCCATATGTTTTTGTTTTAAAGAAGGGTTGAATGCTTGGTCAAATCCGTATATAGAACATCCTTGATAAATGTTTTTGTCATATTCTTGATTTACCAAATATAGAGTAATGTGTAGTATGATTGTATGTGTATATAGAATTTAGTATTTATGTGAGAAATGAGGGAGAGATTCTTGCTCATTTCACAAATTTCAAGGTACAATTTCCACCATAATGGATTTTTCTTAATGATGCATGCTTAGTCTTGTCTTATTTAAACTCCTCATTCACATTCACATATAATCACTCATTGTTATTTTTCAGTCCAAATATACACATATACAGCACATAGTCAAGGTGGAAATTATAGAAGGATCAAGCATTCTATTTTTAGTCTCTATTGCCCTTTCTTTTAAATTCACTGTAAGTAAGCTACCTATATTGGATTATTATTATGTTATGAATTTCAAGAAAAATATTATAGGTCCAATATGATTCTGATTATGTTAAGGAGACTTGAGTTTAGTGGGGCTACATACAAAAATTCTTACCACCTATGCTCAGTAAAATTCTTGTGTCTTTATTATGCTGATTATGATTATTATGCTCGTTTAAGCTATACATGATAATAATTCATGGCATACCTATTGAGATTTTATAAATCTCACTATATGATATTTACCCCTTTCAGGTAATTGTTGGTTCGAGACAGTCAACGTGGAGATGACAACGGGTTGAGGTTAATAAATTATTTTCTGTTTAAAACACAACTTTCAATTTATAATTTAGTTGTTATGTTGGAATTATGTTCTTTATTTATTTTTCTCAACTACATGATAAAACAACAATTTATTTACTTATTGAAAAAAATATTATTTCATGTTCTTATTTTAGTTCTTGTGAAAGAATTTTGAGTTTTATATAGTGACACTCGAATGGCCAAGGAATTGGGTCATCACATAACGAGGTGCAATTGTTTTTATCCTGTTTAAATTATTTTTCATGTTGTTGAATTATTAAACCTATGAAAGTTAAAGAATGATATGATAAGTATGATATGGTCATTTGGTACCAAAGTTATGATATGTATTGAACTCTTACCGGTCTCTAAAAGTATGACGAGTGTATGATATTTTGAAGCATGATTTAAATATTTTTATTCGAGATTGCAGCATTATTTTTGTATCCTACTAAGCATTTCCCATATACTAAACCTTTTCTCATATTCCTTGCATGTTAGAATGAGTCGTCGGTTGGTAGGCGATGAGGTGCAGTCTTGGTGAGGATTTTTGGAACTCAATAAATTAAATTCAGTGTCACATAACTGACATTTTTTATTTTCAGTATTATCTTAGTTTATATCATGAAGATTTTTTTATTTCAAAGTTTAAGACAGGATAATGGGTTATAAATTTTAATCTGTGTTAAGTTATATTAGTCAATTCTATTATTTATTTAATAAATGTGACATGCATGGTTTTTAGTATTTATTTGAGATAATTCATTTGGTTCATGTTTCTTCTATTATTTTAATTATGCTTGTTAATTTTATGTGCTCACACTGTTGAAATAAATAAACATGGTAGCGACTTAAACTTTAAATTTTGGGTCATAGTAACAACACATGCTTAAGTGATAGGTGATTCAAATTCTACTATCACTGAAATTGATCACGCTCTGAAGTGGCAAATATTACATTAGCATTAAGGGATTTAAGTTCCTTAATGATAAGGATGTGTTTGGTAAGGATCATGTGTCCGACATACAATTTATGATCATTGTGTGCTTGGTGAACGTCATAGGATACCTTTCATTTGTCATCATAGAGCCAAAAAACAAACAACTACGAATCAAAAGGATCCACCTAGGGTGCTTATAAAAGTTAAAGGATACATACCTTCACTTTTATTTTCCCAAAGATTTCTAAAGAAGTCAAAGGAGGAATTCATGTTGTAACTACAAGGAGTGGAGTACAATTACCAGAGATTACTGTGAAAGAACGAAAAAGAAAAGATGAGCAGGAAGAGGTTGACGAAGATAAAATGGAAGAAAAATCTATGCCAATCTCAATTGAGAAGGAAGAAACTAAAGAAATGTCCATAGTTAGAGCACCCAACCCAGTCTAAACTTATTGGCATCCTATTTCTTTTCCTCAAAGGCTTGAGAAGATTAAGAAAGATACAAACTTTGAAAAAGCTCCGGATCAATATTATGTTCATTTATGTGATATTACAAATTTCAAGATACACGAAATTTTTGAAAGATATGTTGATAAAGAAAAGAAAGCCTGTAAAGTTTGAAAATATGACACTAAAAGAGGGAAGTAGTGCATGTCTACAAGACAAATTACCTCCGAAGTTAAAAGAGCCAAGGAATTTTACTTTGCCAATTTCAATGGAAAATTCTTATTCTAATAGTGCTATGTGTGATACAGGTGCTAGTGTAATCATATGTCGTATTCTATTTATAGGAAATTGGGATTGGATAAAGTCAAATCAATATAAATAACGCTACAACTTATTGATAGATCCCTTTCGCGACCACGAGGCAAAGTTGATGATGTGTTCATAAAAGTAGGAAATCTAATATTCCCACTGGGTTTCATAGTGATGGACATAGAAGAAGATAGAGACATTCCAATTATATTGTGTGGACCATTTTAAGCAATAGGATGAAATTTATTTGACATGGAGAAGGTGAGTTGATATTGAGGGTAGAGGACAAGCAAAAGATATTCAACATTTACACTCCATATGAGCAACCACCCAATATCAAATGTTGTGTAGAATTGATGAAGAGGAACCACTCCATAAAAAAAACGATACGAATCGAAGAGAAATTGGTGGAATAGTAGGGGCTTCTCGGAGATGAAAAAAGAAATATCAAAAGTTGGAGAGCTAAGAAATGGTACATAAATGAAAATTGCACGATCGCATAACCTGATTTGAGTCACAATAATCAATCATGGTATAATGTCAAGGAATGACGTCAAATAAGCGCCTTTTAGGAGGCAACCTAAGTTTTTTTTTTCTCCTTTTCATTTATTTAGATATTAGTTTATATGTTTATAGTTCCTTAATAAGTTTGCTTTTCTCATAGGTTGATGCTCAAGTTTGGGGGAAACTAGAATCAACACTCATCACAGCCATCAACATAGTAGACCCGAATCTACCTCATCGGGGTGATGGCGATGTCAACAATTGATGTCTTCAGGTAAGTCCTAACTCTCCTTTGTATTTATTATAACATTGGGGATAATGTATATTTTAAGTTTGGGAGGATGAATTGTCAATTGTTACTTTCTATTATTGGTTGTTTAGTATTTTGTGTTCTTGTGCCTGTATGAGATGATTTTATTGTGTGAAAAAAAAAATTATGCATGATTGTATGAGTTAGATAACCTTATTAGCTAAGATGATTATACTTAAGAGCATGAATTAGTTTATGGATTGTGAATGAGTTTGTGCTCTAGTTGAATTTTCTGCTTATCTATGTAAAATGTGACACTATTTATGAATAATAATTGAGTTTAGCATCGTGCAGAAATAGGAAGATTCATACGTGTAGGTTGAATAGAGAATTTAGAAGTTCAATCCCATACCCTATGATTCACAACTTCCTTTAACTGTATAAATTACAATTTGGGGTGTTTAAGCCGATAAAAGAAATGATTTAGGATGTGATGATTCCGTGCATGTTGAAAATAACTTTCTAATATGGACTAGGTGATGACCAAATGATAGGGATCTAAATCTCTATTAATTTTGCTTCTCTTTTATAGAAAATAAGCATTGCACTTATTTAGTATATGCCTTACATCAGTACCTTTTTTACTTGAGTTAGTCAATCTGTAGGGGTATTTCAAAACTTGGGGAGTTATCTACTAAAACCTCATTACAAAGGTCAAGAAGGAGAATATTAAGTTGAAAAGAAAATATGAAAATAAGTAAAAAGAAAAAAAAAATCTATATGCAAGTTCCCAAATAAGAGCTAATCGTTGGGGCTTAGATAATTACTGGGTTCGACTCAACACTTATAATTTGAGAGAATCATCACATAAATAAATTGTTGATGTTATCGACTTGACTTAACCAAATTAGAGGGGTGTAAGAATTTGATAATTGAAAGTAAACTTTAGAATTACACCTTGGAGAGAGAATGAAAGAAAACAACTTTGGGAGTATGTGAATCTTACGAGCGAAGAAAGAAAATAATTGACTATTGAGGATTGATGATCGAAAATTGAACTCACTTATGAATGTACAACGTTTCATTTGATTCTTCACACACACCCCCTATTTTACATTGGATAACTGGAAGTTTAGCTCTTGCATTGTGATTTTGAGCCGTTCATAAACATTATATAATGTTCTTAATACTAAGCCAAGAGGCAAGCTTTTGACTAAGTTTTGTTTTTGCGTTCCTTGGATGTTTTCTTTTTCATTGTGTTTGCTTCAAGGAAAGGAAACTATGAAGTTTGGAGGCATTTGATAAATGCATTTAACTCACGAATTTTATACTATTTTAACTTGATTATTGGCTAGATTTTATGAGTACTGAATATGTTTATAGTATTTGTTAGTGTTGTTTTATAGGTTTGGTGAGGTGGTGTTTACGTAAAAGTGTAGAAAATAGCTATTGACACAAATCGAAGAGAAAAGAGGAACAAAGGGGCAAAATAGTTAAATTCCTACTAGAACTCGACACCCAAGCACAAAGAAGAGCAAAAGATCAAAACTTCCCTAGGCGTGGCTCCTCAACGCCATTTGAAGAAACAGGAAAATCAACAATTGTGGCGTCCTTGCATCACCATTGAAAATGAGAACCTGAGCCGCCACCCTGCTTGAAGATGCAGTGCCGCAGTGCCATTATATGGTGCCTAGGCACTGCATGCTGTCGTCTAGGATGCAGATTTTTAGCCCCATTAAAAGCCCAGATTGACTCCACATTCAGGCAAAAGGTTAGAGGAATTATAAATACATAGGAGTAATCACTTTTTGAGGGGTTCCACACTTTGAGAAACAAGAGATACAATTTGAGAATTAGGAGAACAAATCAAAAGAGAAAAAATCAAGAAATCGAGGTTTTGAAGATTGATAGGGGCAAGAAGATCATCTTGGTGCGAGATTCATCTGCTTATCTTCATCTTTATTCAACATCTAGTGATGTTCTCAATGGATATCTATTGTTTTTCTTCACACATTATGAGTAGCTAAATCTTTTATTAAGACAAATAATGTAATCTATTTGAGATCTTTTATTTCTTTTATTCAAGGTTCTA